AACAGTTCATGACTTAGGTGTATTGTAGGAGAAAAACATGCATCTCAAGCAGAATTTTATTGCAAAACATTGGATGATTAAAAATTGAAAATGCAGTGAAAATAGTTTTTATGTCTGCAGCAAAACTACTGCTCCCCCTTTTCCTCCACTGGGAAAGGAATGTGCTTAAGCCTAGAAACTTGGGTCCTTAGCTTAATTTCACGTTTCCCTGAAAACAGTCAGTCCAAGCCTCCCTCCCTCCCCTCTGCAGCTCACTGGGTGAAAAACAAGGGGCAGTCCTGCTCACAGCAGGCATGAGCCCTTGTACAATCCCCACCCCTGCATGGTCCTTCCCGTAATGCTCCACTTGGGGATAGAAGGATCCCCAGTACAGTAGAACTGCAGCAGCTTTCAGGCTGGGCAAGGAAGAGCTGATTTACAGGTAGTTGCTTATGCTCGGTCAGTGATCGTTCGAAGTTACAACAGTGCTGAAAAAGATTTATGACTGGTTCTCAAACTTGCGGCTGTCGCAGTGTCCCCACAGTCACATGATCGCAATTTAGGCATGTAGCAACCAGTGCACATTTATGATGGTTGCAGTGCCACATGGTCACCATTTGCAACCTTCACAGCTGGCTTCCAATGAGCAATGTCAATGGGGAAGCCGGCAGGAAGTCGCAAGTTGTGGTCATGTGACATCACACAACAACTGTGGGTGATTTGCTTCACAATCACAGCTGGAACTGGTGGTGTAAGTTGGGTGTGGCCATGTGTTGTTTCACTTTACGACTGTCACTTAGCAACGGAGTTGCCGGTCCCAATTGCAGTGTGAAAGTGAGGACTACCTGAACTATTGTGGGCTACTATTATCACCATTACAGGAAGGAAAAAAACAGAAATGTTGATAACTCTGCTAGTTACCTTTGTAGATCAGCCATAGAGTTTTAATGCTGTTTCTTCATAGTGCAAGAAAGAGAGACCTTGTCTTATTTTTTCCCAAGTCATCACATGGAAATTAATAAGAGTTGCTAGGCTACCAGACATTTGTATCCTTACTTGTACGCAGAATAATTGTTAGAGAACCAATCTCATTCACATCTGAGACTTTCCTCTGTAACTAATGAAATAAAAGACACTCACACTGAAATTCTATCAACACACAATTGGGTTATGATCCTTAGTGTGCTCTTTTTGCATTTGTCATGGAGTTGCTAGGATTTTACTGTTTAAGCCAGTGTTTCTCAACCTTGTCAACTTTAAGATGTGTGGACGTCAACTCCCAGAATTCTGAGAGTTGACATCCACACAAAGTTGACAAGGTTGAGAAACACTGCTCTAAAAAAAAAAAAAATGTTAGGAAAAGGCAAACCCTTACAATTCCTGAAGTAAACCCTAGGCTGCAATTCCCAATAAATTCAATAGGTTTTACAGTACATCTAAGTAGGCATGCATAGGCTTGTATAAAAAGTATGGGATAACCGCATTCTTGGACAAGGCTGATTGCTTGTTTTTTTTAACTATTTTGCATGACTTTATTTTGGCTTTGTGCACCATGGAATTTATAGTGAAAGCAACACCATTGAGAAGCTGGAAGGAGAACTGGTCTGATTCTTCAGAGGCTACTGGATGAAGGGGATATTTCAGAAACGGTTATTTTGGCAGTGATGCTACCTTTGTAGACTACTGTTGTCAACCTGTATATTTGTAAATAAACAGATTGCTAACAAGGATGATGTTTCTTAACTTCATCATTGTATCACACCCAAGATTCTGAAACTTTTTCTTTTTTATCTCTCACTACCAGGTAAAGATCATTTGGTTCAGATTTTTTTATTAACCTTAGTACAGTGCATTAGCAACTATTTGTCATGCAGCTTCTATTTTGGGAGGCTATTTTCTTTGCTGTCAGTTCTTTGCTGCTTACAGTTTGGGTACATAGAAAAATGGGAGACATTTTTTATCTTCATATTATGATTATTACTACAAATACTATAGAAAAACAAAAGAGATAATTGGAAGCAACCTCTCCTTCCTACAACAACATTAAAAAAAACCCTCATTACTTCTGGAGATAGGGACAGCCATCAGCATGTATAAAATTAGTGGACTAATGCTCAACCATCACCTTCGCAGTTTAAGATCCTTAAAAGCTGAGTATCCGCAATCAAGCTCTTTCTTTAATACCTTCTCAACTTGCTTCTGTTTAAAATAACCTTAGGCAGTAGCAAAAAAAGAATGCAAGATTTTTACACTGCTTTGCATCTTCGGCCGAAGCTGCTTCTGCAGGCATTAATGCTCACTCCTGTGTTGAGGTGTGCATATTGAAGCATATGATCACATGACAGCACAGACCCACAACAGTTACAATAAAACTTCAAAGTCTGTTTTAGAGTTTAATTTTTTTTTTTATGAAAACAGTAACAGTTTGCACACTATCTAACACTGGGTTTGATTCAGTCACACTTCAGAATATTTAAAGAACATTTTACTTAAATTCACAAGCTGTAAATTTACTTACATTTTACTTAAATTTTACTTAAGTAAAATGTTTACCTTTTACTTAAATTTTAGGAGTTGAATTTACATTTTACTTAAATTCTAGGAGAAATCCCAGCTTCTCATGTTGCAGCTTAATCCAAGGATTCTGACAAATCACTGTGGGACTATCATTCTGAACTACGGTAGAAAAACTAATGAGTTTTAAATCACTTTTGAAGTAGCAGCAGTCACTTTTTAAAATAACACTAAAATAAAATATTAATTTATTTGTGCATGTATCTCTTAAAGCTAAATTCAATTAAAGACTGTTCACACAATAATTCACCTGGTTACTAAATTCATCTTCCTGGTTTGCTCAATACTTTGAATGGTCTACTACCCAAGCAGGCTAGGTTCAAGCAATATGCAAAGGCAATGAAAACCTAACACTAACCCAGAGTGCCATCTTGTGCAAATGTACTTAGTCGTTACTCGATCTGCTCACAAATATAATTTTTTCAATACTAAATCATGACCATTTCATTGATAATGCTTATGTCAAAAGGAAATTTAATATAGTTTTTTTTTCTCATAACGAAACACTGCTCACTGGCTTCTCAAAAACTGGGCGTTAGGCCCATTGTCTAGTGTAGCTGATTCTGTTCTGGATTGTGGCTTAGCTTCATGAAAATTAACTTGCTTTATACTATATCAACCCAAAATCTATTTTCATAATTTCTTCTGTTCCCAAAAGAGGGCAGTGTCAAAGCAAAGCAAAGGATGCAGCCAGGACCACACCTCCTTTAGATATACATTTAGTAAAAAAACATTCAATTAATACAATTGCTCCTCTTGTATTTAATAATTTTCTTTACATTGCATAGGGGCTCAGGCCACATCTAAGGCTTCAAAGGGATCTAGAACCTCAAGTTCTACACTCCTGTTTAAGCAGATCATTGGGAAGATGTCTGTAATGTTAAATATTTTGTTTAGTTGAGTACATATGCTTTGAATTCAACTGTAAGGCAGCAAAACTATACAGTGGAACCTTGGTTTACGAACTTAATTCGTTCCGTGACTCTGGTCGCACCCTGAATTGGTCGCAACCCGAAGGAAATTTCCCCATAAGGTTCGATGTAATTACCGTTAATCTGTTCTGGCGTGGAGGACAGGGACGCGGCTATTGCATGTCAGGGGCGGAAAAATGGCCGCGGGCCACATGTCAGGGGCGGAAAAATGGCCGCGGGCCACGTGTCGGGCGGAAAAATGGCCGCGGACCACGTGTCAGGGGCGGAAAATGGCCACGGACCACGTGTCAGGG